GCTGGGTGCTGGGCTGGAGACAATACAGCCGGGGAGAGAGCCGGAGGAGGCAGGGACCCAAAACTCCCAGCATGCAGTGGAATAGCAGCGGCAAGAGGCTGCAGTATCTGGCCTTAGGAAATGAGGTAAAGTTTGTTGATAGGTGGGTGGGGCAATGGAAGTCTCTGCCTGGAGAATGGCGAGGAAGTTTAAGTAGATCTGTCTTTCTCCGCTTGTTGGGTCCTCCAGCTTGGGGTCTCATGCTGAGTGCCTCAGCCAGGGTGGACCCAGAGTTCCAGAGCTCCAAAGTTCCAAAGGGCAGGCGGTGAGTGGTGAGAGTGGTGCTGGGCCCCCTACAGAGTACTTCAGCCAGGAATGGGACTGGTGTCTCTGAGGGGTGGGCGCCCAGAACCTCCCTGTGTGACCGGCGGCTTGGTGCCAGGTGCCTGGGCTGGAGACAATGCAGCTGGGGAGGGATCTGGAGGGGGCTGGGACTGGAGACTTCCACACATGCAGTAGAACAGCAGCAGTGGTGGGGGGCGCAATATCTGTCCCTGCGTGGGACTGAAGTTCCCGGGCCTGGCACCAGCATGGTTGGTGGTGGGCTGGGGGATGGGGGAAGAGAAGTAATAGCCTTTTTGGGAACTCACGTTCAGAGAATCTCACCAGTTCACCTATGCTATCGCCATCTTGCCTCTCTCTCCCAGTATAATTATTATCTAGATACCTGGTGCTTCCTACTCCGTCATCTTCCCAGGATATTCTCTAATATCTGGATTTTAAATTCAGTCTGATCAGTTCTAGAGTAACAGCTGGGGTAAAGGTCAGCAAAAATCCCTCTAAGAAAACTCCCTGGAGGAAGTTTTCTAGAAATTTTGTCTTAGAAGATTCTCAGTAGTCAAGTCTCAGAGCTGCCATTAGACCATAGTGACCTCTTTACAGAGACAGTTTTGGATTTCAGACCTCAACTGGGAACTGTAGCTTTGATAAGGAGCTGGATCCCAACTGTAGGCACATAAACAAGAAAAATATATTTCTCACCATTCTGGAGAGGTTGGAAGTCTAAGATTAGTCAGTGTCCCATACAGATTGCTCAAACATAAAGAAAAGTAACAGTTTATGAGTCATTCCAAATTAGATGACCACTATCTATATTTAAAAATATATACATAAACTATTTCAATGATTTTGACAAAATGGAAGGAGATCCTCTGGAACTAGAATGAAATTCATAAGTGGCAAATGCAAAATATGTAGAGAGAGATTAAAACACCTGGAAATTCATGCATAGGAGGGTAGGGTTTAGAGGTATGGATATTAAACTTATCTTTGAGTTAAATGAAAAGTCAACATGTTCACCAGTGGGTGGGGAGAGACACCAACTTATCAAGAAGAATATTAAGATACAGGAATAAAAGTCTTATAATTATTCAGATACTGAGCTAAATATTATACTTATAACTTTTTTCTTATAAAATTAAAATGGTATTAAAATTAAAGAAGAGCAAAAGAACACCAAGATTATCTGAAAGCTTTAAATTTTTTGAGGAAAATGACATTGAAACAATCCTTAAGAAAATGAAAGAATATGGGAAAATTTTGATTCCTTGATGTTTTCTGTGCACTCGCAATAATAAAGAAAACATGCTGAAATTTTAGAAAGAGATTGGTCTGTGGTATTGTCACAAGGGTATGCAAATACTGAAAATGATAGTTGAGGGAGCAGTCCCCATCAGTGGGAATCTTCAGTTGACACCAGAAGGCCTTGTATGTCCACATGGCCTAAGTATCTGGAAGGCAGGGGCTCCTAGGATTCCATGACATACCCACCTTATAATTCTGTAATTATGACTCCAGACCATCACCTGGCACTCTGGTTCCTACCTCTGGCATTCTTTTCAAAGCCTGCGCTACAGGATTTAGACATCTTGTGCCTTACTTTTGTGGTTAAGGATTTTCAGAGTTGTGGGATGCTGAAACAGTTTATCCAGAAAGTAAGTTATGAATCATATCTGCCTTCTTTATACCTGTTTAAATCCCTTTTGTATGTGAAGAAACTTTATTGAGGTATAATTTAAATATTATGAAATCCACCCATTATAATTGTATAGTTCAATGATTTTTAGTGATTTACCTGAATAGTACAACTATTTCCATAATTTATTCATTTTAATATATTATGCTTTGGTTTCTTCTTCCCAAGTCCTGGCTCTAATTCTACCACAGGCTTCAGCATGGTAGTATCTCTCACCTCTTCTTCAGATCCAAGAGAAGATATGAACATCCTGGAAGCCAACCAGTACTTATGCTCTCAGCAGGAAAAAAGCAAACAGAACTTCCAAGACCTCACAGAGAAATATCTCACATCCAAAGCTACTGCATACACCCTGGCCAACCACCTGCAGAAATACAGTAAGTCATAAAGCGGCATGGTCACCTAAGTGAAAAACGATCATCCATTCTCCTTGGTGAAGCAAAGCAATCTTCAGATCTTCTTCTTCCTTTTTGTCATAAAAAATAATTTTTTCCTGACTATACTTCCTTCTGGAAGTAGAGTTAGTATACTGGTTATTTATTACTATTTGTTTTATTTATTTATTACTATTTATTTATTTATTACTCAGTTTACTGAGGATGGAAAAACTGAAGCTCAAAGGGGTAAAGTTTGCAAGGATGATATAGAGAGGAATTAGAGACTGAAATCTTGGTTCAGGCACTAAATTGTCTTTTTTCAATAATGTGTCAGCTTCTACAAACATAACATCACTGTTGTTTTGAATGTCTCAGGTTACATTTCAAACTTTTACTGATCACCCATTTGCAAAGCACTGTGTCAACACCATGAGGAGAGGAGGAAGGAGCTTAGCACCATCTGTTCCCATCTGAGTCGCAGATATCTGGAGATAAGAACTTTAATAGCAGACACTGAGGGAAGTCTTGATGTCTGGAGAAAGATTCTTTTCCCATAAAAGTTCAAAGACACCATTCCTTACACTCTAGTTGGATTGAAGGTGTTCCAAGAAAATCAAAGGCTCTATAACATCCTTTCTATTTTTCCATGAATATGAACTTTGCAGAGAGTAAGCAATGCCAGGTGGATCTCCAGGAGATACGTGGCCAAAGTAAGAAAAAGGCTGAGATCACCAGTCTAAGTAGCAGGCCAGGCTGATTGGGGTGGTGGGAGGAGCTATAATGACTGAAGGAAATGTGGAAACAAAGCAACAGGAATGTTAGAGGAGGAGTCTTGCTAACCTTGAAATTGAGTTTGTTTTCCAATTTCTACAATTATATTTCAATAAATCAATGGGAAGTAAAATTTGCTATCCAACTTACTGTCATAGACAGAAAAATAAAAATTAAAGCCTACTTTGTTTTTAAAAAAAAAGTGAAAAGATGAGCTTTGGGGTATAGAAAAAGCTGCACTTGTTACACCGTTCATTAGTTTCATAGTACAATTGTATGGCAAAAGTTTTAAAGCTGGAGAATAAGAAATGTATCATTCAAGACCTTAGTATAAAGGTAATATAGCACAGTGATTAAAGCACATATATCCTAGAGCCATATTTCTTGGGTTCAAGTCTAACTTGTTAAACTGTCTCTGTGTCTCGGTTTCCTCATCTGTACTGGTAATATTGAGTAGTACCTACTTCTTTGGATAGTGGTGATGATTACATGATGATAACGCTTGAAAATCTACTAAAATAGTACCATGACAAACACTATGTGTTGGTTCTCCCGCTAATCTAACACCACCTATTAGCTTTTGGGCATATGTTATTTAGATGTTTTCCCCATGTACACTTTTTACACCATTGTGTCCAGATCAAATTTTAAATCTTTAAAATATCGGGGTATTATTGAAACTCTCAACACAGAAGAAATATCAGTCCTATAGTCCTTTGATGTTCTCCCAAATATACAGGAAATCACTACTCATGACACACATTAATATTTTACTCAAGAAGCTATGAGGCTTCATAAAGTGTCGTAAGATTTGGAGTCAGACTTCAGGAGATACGAATTTTGACTTTGCCTCATTCCATTTGAATCATCTTGTCTAGTGTCTTTGCCTATGAGTTTTTCTTTCCTCATATTTAAAATGGGGAGTCATCGGGGCACTGAGGAGTAAAAACATGGGAATCCCAGGGTGAAGCTTGGTACTGGGGTTACTTTTGCCCTTGGGATATATCCTCCTCTCCCCTGTAGGCAGTGACCACAGAGCATGTCCAGCTTTCCACTGAGGCAGGTATGTTTGTCTTTTCTCAGAGTGTGAAGAGTGTAAAGACCTCATAGAAGCTGTGCTGGGAGAGGAACTGCCATTTGAGGAAGGGAACTTGGTGGGAAAGACAAGATGAGCCAAGACATGGGTAAGGAGGTACATGTGTGGGCAGTGTGGGAATATTGTTTGAAGGAGGCAGCCCAGGCTGGTTGGCTAAAGAACAAATTTGTGGAAAGGGAGTCACATAAATGTATGTAACAGGCATAGAACTAGGTCATACCCAATGGGGCTGTGACCTAGTTAGGGCTCTGTGTCCTAGTTAGGGCTCTGGGGAACTTAATTAAATATCATATGAATAAAGTGGAGACAGATGCCTGTTTTGGAATCCTAGCAATATGGCTCCTATCTGTGTGCCCTTGGTCAAATTTACTTAAGTTGACTTCATGTCAGTTACCTCAGCTACATCATCTATAAAATGAAAATACTGACAGTATCTACCTTAGAGGCTTATGAGATTAGATGCATAATTACAAGAGGTTAGAACCATCTCTAATTCATATGAATCTCACCACAGTTTGCTGTAATTATTGTACTTGCTTTTATTTTTTTATAGGTGTAGTAATTATCTTTAATGGACTAACATTTTTGTAAGAGATGTTTCAAGCTTTCTAAAGTGGCCTTCATGATAAAAATCTTTCTCCTCCCAACTTTTCTCCTTTTGAAAATATCATTCTATATGGAGTATTGACTGGTAGGACTATTGAACAGATAGATAACTGAGTAACTGTTGTCTGGAAGATGAATTATTAACTTGCTAAGGACCAGCTCTGCCCATCCATAGATAGTTTTAGACATAGCGTGGATTGTAACACTCAGAACACCTTTTACCCCTTTGTTGAGGTAAAATCTTAGAAGCTGAAGTGTGTATAGCCCAACAAAGTAGAGATATTTGATTGAAGGGGGCAGAGGTCTGGAGCTCCTGTTTTCCCCCAGTATATGTTGTCACTTCCTCTGATACTTTATAGGAAGTTCATGGAACAGAATTTGAAAGACAGTCTGTAGATAACTACTTAGCAGGACAGTAAGGAGAAGATCCAAACATCAGATGGGTAGAGGACTGTAAAAGCTTAGTCAAGCCTTAGGATGACATGGTTCTCAACATTAGCTGAAATCCTTCTTGTATGTGAACACTCTACTGGGTGCTGTAAGTTGGGTAATACATGCCATCTTTAGCCTCACAGAGCTTACTTCTACATTGGAATCTTTGGAAAATACTTATACGATAATTAGAAAACTATGAGATCGCACATAAGGTGCCAAACATGGGGGCTCATGCCTATAATCCCAACACTTTGGGAGGCCTAGGTGAGAGGATTGCCTGAGTCCATGGGTTCTAGACTAGCCTGG